TCGAAACCAGGATTTTCAACCCCGCACTCCCCACACTGTTGACATCTGTTGCTAGATGTCTTTATGGTGAGATACTGTCCTGCTTTGCATGATGACAGCAAAAACTGCCTCCCTTGGGGGGTCACCCTTGGCCTTGGATTGAGAGCAAGCATCCTAGAACAAGAACACTCCTGCACAACCTCACAGGCTAGCCTCATGAGAAATCAACCATTCCAGGGCATCTCCTGACCTTTAGTGCGTGGTCACTTTACTTGTCTTAATTATCAGTTTGTAAGTAAGGATTCAGTCTAGGTTCATGCATTGAAGTTAGTCACTTTAGTCTGTTTCTGGAACAGTCCCCAGCATTTACTGTGGCATTGACTTTATCAAGAATCCAGGGCATTCTACCTGTAGAATGTCCCTGATCTGGACCTATCTGGACCTGCTTCCTGTCATTTAATCTGGTTCTCCACCCCTATTTTCCTGTAAACTGGATAATAGATAGAAACCTGATTAGATGCTGGTCGAGTGTCGAAAAAATTCCTCCACGTGATGCCAGAACCCTTCCCCCAAGGGCAGGCGACGTCCATCTGCCCCAGGACTAGCGTATTTCTCTCAGGGGTGGATGTTGGATTTTGGATTTTGTCAGATCCTCTTTATGCGTCTGTTGAGATGATCACGTGGTAAATCATAATTTCTGTGACTGTGGTGAATTACAATGACTTGACTCCCATCCTACTTGGTCATGATGTATTCTCCTTTTTATATGTGTTGGATTTGATCTGCTAAGATCTTGTTAAGAATTTTTTCTCTACGTTCATGACAGATGTTGGGCCATGGTTTTCTTGTAATATCTTGGTCTGGTTTCGGTATCAGGGCACTGCCGCCTCACAGGACAAGTCAGGAAGTGTTCTCTCTTCTTCAGTTTTCTAGAAGAGTCTGTGTAGAATTGCTATTACTTCTTCCCTTAATGTTTCAGCGATTGTCTTCTTCTGCATTTTTGTTGAAGTGTGTGATGCTTACAGCTCACACATCTGGCTCATTCTTTCTAATGCTCAAACTATACCGTGTTTGGCCACTGGGAGGACTTGAGGCTCATCTTTTCTTGCTTTTTCCTTGCTTCAGTTCTGGAATTGGCCATTTCCCCAGGGAGCCCTGGTTCCCTTTAGCAGGGGAGTTTTTGGTAACTCTGGACCCTGTACTATTAGTCCTTCGGGAGGCTCAGGTCAGGTGCCAGTGCCACTGGCAGCAGGCGAGCCCGTGTTGACTTTGCTTTTCCTGCTGGTTTAGCAGGCAATTGGCTGCCACTGCCTTCTTTGCATTCCTTGGTTATTATTGAGGCCAAGCCCCTTGTGCCCAGGCAGCCATCATGGTGCTTTTCTTGCCTTCTGCTTGCCTACCCAGTGGAACCTGGCAGTGGACTTGGGGCTCGTAGCAATGTTTGGTGAATGGAGTGAAGATGAATTTCCCTGCATTTGTTTCCTTGCACCCTGCCTTCCCCTTGTGTACACTGTAACCAGATAACTTTCTTGTCTCTTTCTTGTCCCTCTATTATGGAGACATCTCAAGGATGGCTCTTGGTTTCAAACACATACAATATGATAAATGCCATTATTGAGATGTGTATAGAGTGCCAAGAAACAGATTAGGGAAGGCTATGGGCACAGTGGGGACCAGGCTGCCTGCATAGGAGCCTCAGGGACTCTCCTGACAAGGGCTGCAGGCTGAGGTCTCTTCCTAGGAGCACAGTATTGAGTTTTGTGTTGTTTCTTTTTTTATAGCCGGGGACCCGTCCTGCCTGGGGAGATCTAGCCATTTGACGCTACTGGTCTAGGGTGTTGGCTGTGTGGTATTGCACATTCTGTTTTGTGATAATGGTTTCTTTTCATCTGTGATACCATCTTCCTATGTCCATTCCTATCAGACTGGACAGTTTGCACATGTGTGTGTTTATGGCACAGTTTAGCAGGGACCACGGGGCTTTGCCCAGTGGCTGAGGGTGAGCCTCTCTGAGCCACACGCTCCCCTACACCGAGCCTCTGTGGGCTCGTGGTATCCCAGGCCTATCCCAGTCTTGGGCCTCCCAGTCTGTGCCCACCCGTCTCCCTCCGGCTGCTGTCGGGGGCTGGGAGCTGTCGATGTGGGGTTGGCTGCCACCCTGAAGGGCAGCCACAGCCCTGCTGGGCAGAGGCTGGTGCCTGGCAGAGTGAACCTGTTCTCCTGCTGCTTTCCCAGGCCTTCGCCTCAGGTGGTGTCAGACACTCCAGTAGCTGTCCCCTCAGTGATAGGGCAGGGCGCACCCTGGACTGCTGGCCTGTGGCCATGTGGGCCCAGAAGCCTCCTCTGGCTGGTCCTGTGAGCCCGGCTGCAGCCTGACCCAGCCTGTCCTACCCTGACAGCCTTCAGGCCCTGCCCTCTTTAATGCCCTACACCTTCTAGAGGGCCCTGCCCTGGGTGCAAGCAGGCCCGGAGGTCTGAGGGGCCCAGGCGAGAGCAGCTGCTGCCGCACCCAGCCCCTGCCCCTGGTGCAGGGCTTCCCTCCACCCCTTGGGCCTGGCTGTTCTGTGGTGGGCTGGAGGAGCAAGCACAAGGGAGGAGGTGTGCCAAGGGGCCGCTCCCCCTCCACTCAAGGCTGACAGGCCCTCATCTCCTCCCAGTGCTCAAACAGGCGCTGCGGCAGAGGCACCAGGATGCCCAGCAGGCCTGCCGGCCCCACAACTTGCCAGTGCTCCAGGCAGCCCAGCAGCGGGAGCTGGAGGTAGGAGGCTCGCAGGGGGCTGGGCTGGCACCACCTGGTCAGAGGGACTCAGTGGCTGCTCTGGGCCTTTGTGGGCCGCTGAGCCCCAGTGAGTCCCAGCACAGGGCTCTTCCTGGGGGGATGGGTGTCCTGGGGCTGGGTGGGGAATGAAGGCCCTCTGTGAGTCCCCTGCTCACTGGGACAGCAGCTCCTGGTGGGCTGGGGCCCACATGGAGCAAGTGCTGATGGGGGTCATTGTGCCCTTTGGCCTCAGGGGTGCAAGGGCAATGGTGGGGTGACAGGGCCAGCCAGGAAGGGGCCCATCCTTCTCCCGGGGAGCTTAGGAACAACCAACAAGCCATGGGGGGATGCCTGGGGAGATGCATGAGGTGCCGGGGTGTGCAGTAGAACCCCTCAGAGCCCCTTTCTAGGCTTGGCGGAGGAGCAGGGAGAGGCCCAGGTGGGCATGGTGAGGACAAGTCAGTGCCTTCGGACCCGGTGCCACTGGGGATGGTAAGGGGCTGGGGTAGCAGGCAGGAGCATGTGTTTGGGACACTGGTGAGCAGGGGGCTGAGCCCGAGCCACCCTCACTCCCCCCACTGTGGCAGGCTGTGGAGCACCGGATCCGAGAGGAACAGCGGGCAATGGACCGCAAGATCGTCCTGGAGCTAGACCGGAAGGTGGCTGACCAGCAGAGCACACTCGAGAAGGCAGGGGTGGCCGGCTTCTACGTGACCACCAACCCACAGGTCAGCGTCTGGGCCTGCCCTGCCCCCACCCCCAGTGTCACTGGTGCCCAAAGGCCCAATCCCACCTGGGTTTTACTGCTGGTCCCCAGGGACCCAGGCCCAGGAAATGGGGGTGGGATGGAAATGAGGCTCCCAGAAGGGTTTCTGCTCCCACAGAAGCCAGGCTTACTGCCCACAGGAGGGTAAGCCAGCTGGCCAGCCAGGAGATAGCCCAACATCCCTAGCTAGCCCTGCTGCGTGCTCCAGGGCCCCCCTCCTGTGCGCAACTCCCAGTGTGCCAAGCCAGGGCAACAGCCAGCCCTGCTGGGGGTGGAGGCCTGGGTCCTACCCCTTTCTGGCAGGCCGTGGCCAGGCTGCACCAGGACTTTGGCCCTGGAGCCTCACTGCCTGGCACCTCTGGGCCCTAGTATCTGCCTCTGGGTGGGGGCAGAAGGAGCCAGCTGCCACGCTTGTGCTCACAGGGCCCTCTGCACGCCAGGAGCTGATGCTGCAGATGAACCTGCTGGAGCTGATCCGGAAGCTGCAGCAGAGGGGCTTCCAGGCAGGGAAGGCAGCGCTGTGATGAGGCCCTGCAGCCCCTGCTACCCAGCATGGCTGGGAAGGCAGCCCTGCCCTTCTGTGGCCACAGGCAACAGAACACTGAGCGCAACTTGTCATCGTAATGTCTGGCCACTGCCCTTCCAGCTGCCTGCAGGATCACCCTTCTGAGGAGAGGTTGGTGGACCCTGGCTATGCCTGTTACCCACTTACATTTGGGCTTTTCTGTCCAAACGCTAGAATAGTCTCATAAAGGGGACACAGGCCCAGCCTTCCTGCTGTCTGCCCCAGGGCTGGGCAGGTAGTGGGGCTGAAGCATTCTAGCACCTTCTCACTCCAGGGGGCATGTCCTGATCCCACCAGGCCTCAGCCCAAGTGCTTGTTCTGGGCTCAGACGCTCCCTTGGCAGTGATAGCCCCTACGTGGAAGAGGCTCTAAAGCCCAAGCCCTATGTGACTCAGAAAAATAAAGATGCCTCATGGCCTACGCATGGCTTGTGTGACAGCTCTGTGGTTTCCACTGCCACCAGGGCCTAGGTGGGGCCCTCACCCGATGCCTTCATGTTGCAGCAGAGGCCTTTGCCCAGGGCTGCCCTCCTGGGCTGTGTGCCCAGCTTCACCACCCTTACCTCTGCACGGAGACTGGGAGCCTCCTGGCCTCCCCTGTCCCAGCCCTGGTCCCAGAGCACAAGGACCACATCCATCCTGCTCCACAGGGCTGGGGCTGGACAGCACGGAGGAGGCAGGGGGTGGGCACCTGCCTCAGCCTTGGTCCAGGGCCTGTCAGAGTGGCAGCAGCCCCAAGTGGGTCGCTGGGGTGAAGGGCCCAGCGTGGCAGGAAGGGTCTGAGGGGGAAGCCTGCTGGAGGCGTGCTGGCTCTGCCCTGGGAGCTCAGCCCCACATCCGCACATGTCCTGTCTGCACTGGCCTGAGCCCAAAGGCCTTGCTGGGCCCTGGGTTATGGAGCTGGGGGTGTCAAGCACTCCAGGTGGCCAGGTCTGCACTGGACCTGGCCTCGGGACAGATGGCGCCAGAGTCTCGGAGGAGACTTCTCAGGCCCCATCCAAGGCACTCCTTCCTTGCTGCCCAGAGCTGACCCAGTGCAAGGGCGCTGCAGGAGAGTCGGGGCCCTCAGCTGTAGGGACAGTGGTTTATTGACCAGGTGGGCCTCCCCTGCCTAGCCACTGGCCACCCAGGGGGATCGCAGTGTGGGCTGGCCCCTGGCAGAAGGCCATCCTCCAGGTCCAAGGGCATAGGCTGCACACATGGGGAGGTGGGGAGGTCCCAACAGTTCACAGTGGCTCAGATGGGTATCAGACTCAGCCCACGCTGAGTGCCCACATCCTGGGCGGGGCCCCACCTCCCACAGGTCTCAAAGTCTTGGGTGTAAATAGGTAATCTCCAAGGCTGGGATTGGGCTGCAGCTATGGTGACAGCCTAGGGGCCACCCAGACCCCACTCCCAAGTCCCTGCTGGGCATGAGGGCCTTGGGAGTCCACAGCCGGGGTGCATGGAGGCCAAGGGTAGTGGCGCGGCAGTGGGCACTAGGCTGGGCGGTGGAAGAGGCTCCCGGTGCGGAGCCGCCGCTTGAGCTCCTGCCACAGCAGCTGCCGCTCCCGCTGGGCGCCCTTCATGAGGCTGCTGTTCTCCAGGGCGCGGCGAGACAAGTAGGGCAGCACCTCCATCACGGGGCCATAGGGCACATACTTGTACACGGGGAAGCCCGCCTGTCCTGCACATGAGGCAGAGCAGCTGAGTCCTGGCCCCACCACGACCACCCCCAACCCTCCCAACCCCCGAAACCCCCCTGCCCCAGGGAGAGCCCGGCTCACCCAACGGGAAGCTGATGTGGTCGCACATGCCCAGCAGCTGTCCAAAGTACACCTGGCGGTCAGCAGGGTGCAGGCCCAGCTCCTCCATCCTGTGAGAAAGGGAAGCTGGGCAGGTGAGGGGTTGGCCCCAGGAAACTATCCCCTGGTACAGGAGTACAAGGCCCCTGTCTTAGCGCGAAGCCCCTCCTGCCACTCCGCAGCCCCCCATCTGCACACTTGGGCCTTCATCCCCTGTGGAGTAGGTATGCGGTATGGGCTCTGCCCTGCCCCAACCAGGCCTCTTCCCAGCAGGGCTCCACTGGGCTCTCCCTGGGGAGGCCTCAGCCCACTTCTAGCAAAGCACCCCCTTCCCCGCCTGCCCTCCCCTACCTCCCTCTTTGGAAGTTCAGCAGCTCCTAGGCCCTTCTCCAGCCCCTCCGGGACTCTGCCTGGTGACCAGTCTCCTGCATGCCCCCACCCGTCCTCCCTTTGCCGGCTGCTCCTCTGCCCCATATCCACAGCTGCTGTGTCCACAGGGCAGCCAACAGTGGCCCTGAGTCCTTGGAAGGTGGCCACTCTGAAGTGAGATGTGCTGTGAATTAAAGTGATTACTGTTTTGTATATTTGGGGTTAATTAAAATGTATTATTGAAATTAATTTCATATTTTTCTTTTATCATAACTACTAAATTTAAAATTACAGATGTGGCTCACATCATATTACTGTGGCTCAGATGTTGGGGTGGGGGCCCCCAACTCTGTCTGTCTTCACACCTCCCTTTGTAGGATCTTACAAAAGCTCCCAGAGTTTGAAACGTCCTCATGTTTACGATTCACACATCTTCACCTCCAGCTTCCAATACCCAGGCTCCCAGACTTGGCACGTCTGCACCAGCACCGTGGGGCCCCACCTAGAGCGTGTTCAGCCTGGTCCTCACCTACCTGGCAAAGCCTGTGCTTCCTGTCCCTCCCTCGGGGCCCTGCCTCCCCTGTTCTCATCAGCCTCAGGGCCCCCCTGGCCCCGGCAGGACTCTGCAGGAGGGTCAGTCACAGACTCGTTCTCTCCATCCCCCATCCAGTGTCAGGGCTGCCTGATCCAAAGCAGGTACCTGTCTCTGCCACATCGCCCTGGTCTTGAGTTTGTCTTTCTCCGGCACTGGAATGTGAACGCCAAGAGAGCCAGGCTGTCCCTGTCCTGCCTCCCCTCCCCTGCAGGTATCCACAGCCTCTGCCATGTGACTACAGCTTCTCCCAGCACAGGGCAGAGGCGCTCTGCACCTGGCATCTGGGCTTGGCCTCCTGACTGCCTCTGGCCAACAAGAAGGTAGGAAACATGACTCCAGCAGAGCTTGGCCTCTCCAGGTCTTCTAGAAGCCTGAGACCACCACATTACCAAGCCTGGGCTGGCCTGTGGGGCACTAGACATAGGATGCAGTCCAGAGGCGCAGGAGGGACCCAGGCAAGGCCAACAGAAGCACCCTCTGACCCTCAGAGCACACTGCTGTTCAAGCCTTTAAGTTTGGGGCTGGCTTGTTACTCAGCCAGAGCCAACCCAGGCTGTTTGACTGAGGTGCCTGAATGTGTGGTGTGGCGGCCTGGGCCAGACAGAGGACAGAGCAGCCACCACTGTCGGGGACCCAGAACCACTTTCCCAGGGGAGGTGGCCCCAGCTGCCCAGGGCTCCCCAGCCACCAAGAGCAGGGGCACAGACCTGCAGGTGCCGAGCCTTCTCAGTATTGGTGGAGTCCAGCACAGGGCCCTAGAGGCTACGAGGAAAGGGAGAGCCCAGCTGCCACTCGAGAGAGGGGGAAGCTGCGTGCAGGGCAGGAGGCACAGCCGCAGCAAGATGGTAGACAGGTAGGGGATGGAGGGTGATATTTGGAAGAAAAAGGAAGCCCTGCTAAGGACAGGCTGTCCCTTCAAGAGCTGGACTGTGATGTGTCTACTCAGAGTCCGAGTCCACTAGCCTTGTGATTCCAACCTGAAGTGCATGTGGCCAACGAGAGTCTGTGAGTTCTTCACTGAAAGCTGAGTGGAGGCCTCCTTCCCCACTCCCAGCCGCGGGACCTGCGCCACCAGGCCTGTCCTGTCACCCATACATCTACCTGCCATGTCTAGCGGAGGATCAGGGCATAAAAGGGGGTGCACGGCGACTCCAGAGTGTAGAAAAGCAGCCATGTCATGAACAAAGAACGAGCATGGACGTCACTGAATGATTTGGCACCATCAGGCGGCTCCCTGAGCAGCACCCAGAAGTGCCCCACGAGCCTTGGGCCTGCGGCTGCCCCCATAGCACAGGGCCCCCAGCGGGGCTCCTGGAAGGCGAGGGCCAGCAAGGCCACTGCCCGGGCCCTGCAAGCTCCTTGGGGCCCAAAACCCAGGAAGGCAGAGTCTGGGGGAGTGGGGAACAGGACCCCAGCGCAGGCCTGGCGGGAGTTAGGGTGTGAGATAAGAGACAGTGGGGACAGCACCGGAATATCTAGGAACTGACTTGACCCAATTTTTGCATTTGACTTGTTAGAATTCCACCAAAGCTGTGCTCCGCGGGACAAACACGTAAAGGGAAAACAGGCTATGTTAAACCGCGGTTGTAGTTGAGAACCTTAAGGGAAGCCGTTTATAAATGAGGCAGTGCCTTCGAGGCCTCACCACAGGACTGTGAGGTTCTGTGTTTGTAGGTTGCGATAAGCTATTTGAATCTCCCAATGAAATTTATTTTTGGAATCTGAAACTTTACTAAGGTGCTCATTTTAAAAACCAAAGTAACTGGCCAGGTGCAGTGGCTCTTGCCTTCAGTCCTAGCACTTCAGGAGGCTGAGGCAGGAGGATCGCTTGAAGTCAGGAGTTTGAGACCAGCCTGAGCAAAAAGAACCCATCTCTACTAAAATTAGCCGGGCATGGTGGCGCACGCCTATAGTCCCAGCTACTGGGGAGGCTGAGGCAGGAGGATCGCTTGAGCCCAGGAGTTTGAGGTTGCTGTGAGCTAAGCTGACGCCACTGCACTCTAGCCCAGGCAACAGCGTGAGACTCTGTCTCAAAAAAAAAAAAGCAAAGTAACTGCAAACAGTCATCCTGTTCCCGCAGTGGAGTAGCGTCAAGCACTCCAGCTGGGCCTAGGGCCTGCGGGGCACTGAGGCCACCACACCAACTCGTTCCATGGACCTTCCCCCAGACACTGCCCACCCTGGGCCACTGCCAACTTCTCCTAGCCGGAGACCCTGCCAGCATGGTCGGGGCATCCTACCTGCACAGAGTGAAGCGCACACTGTCCTCGTTGTGGGAAGCCACCATCACCACGGCCTTGGCACTGTGCTTCAGCTCCTCCAGCACGTAGTCCAGGCACCTGGGGGGAGCACCACATGAGCCCGGCCCCTGGCACCTTGCTGCCTGTGCCTCTCACTGCCAGCCCACCACGGGGCAGGAGGCCTCAGGCAGACCCAGGACCGCACAGTGAGCTGGCTCCCACCAAGGCTGCCCACAGCATCAGGAGGGACAAGAGCAGCATCCACCCCTCCTCAGCCCCTCATGAAAAAGAAAGAACCACCACCAGGAACAAGCAAGCATCGGCTGGGAGAGGACAGCTCAGGAAGAGGAACGAGCTGGGCTACAACATTCCTGCATCAAACATGCTGTGACCACAGGGGCCTGCACCTCCTGACACGGGCAGCTTCACTTCTGGGAAGGGACCGTGCAGTGCGCCCCTGGCCCCACGAGGAAATAAAGGGAAGCAGGTCCCCGGAGGCCTGGTGGGGCAGCATCCCTGTGCCCCAGGGAGACCGAACGGTACTGCCCTCGAGCATCAAGGACACTCATAGGCTGGATGGACATTCCCTCTGACTGGGCAGCTGCACTTCCAGGAATGCACCAGAGCTGTGTCCTCAGACACAGAGAACCCCAGACAGCATATGTGTAACAGAGGGGAACAGGATGCTCGGGGAGTCCCTCTTAAAATAACCAGGCTGAAAACCAAAGATCACAGACGCCAGGCACAGAGCCCTGGATGTCCCACGCTCTGCATGCTGACACAGGAGGGTCCAGATAGAGCGTTAAATGAAAAACGCACCAGGCAAAGGACAGTGTGCAACGATGGCGCAGGCACACACGGTGCAGCACGGATGTGCTGGGCGGGCCACGGGGAGGGAGCTGGAGCCAGCGAGGAGGCACCAGGGGTCCCTGATTTTGCAACATGCACACACACCTCTGAGACAGAAAAGCTCAGATCACCCAGATAACTAGAGCAATAAAAGCAGGTGCAGAATAGCTGACGATCCGGCCATGTGGATTAAAAAGGAAACAGGCCAAGCCACAGTGCAGGGAGGGCCGGGCACCCATACACATCTCTCATTTAAGTGTGAGCAGGAGCCGGGGGAATGTGGCCAGTTTTGTTTTGTTCAGTAGGCTTTTCTAAATTTAAAAAAGAAAAACCTTAATGTGGAAAAAGTAACACAGAAGCAGAGGAGCTATGAGTCCTGGCCTCAGGACATACATAGCTCCTGCTCAGGTCTCAGCCTCCTGCTGGGGTTTCTGGCCTGGGCAGGTCAGGGCAGCGGTGGCGTCCCGAGGCCCTCCCTCAGCCCCATCCCTCGTGCCCGCCCCGCCCTGGGAGCCTGAGGCAGGAGGCTGCGCACCTGTGGTACATGGCGTTGGTGGCTTCGTACGTGGGGTTGATGGGGTCTTCGTAGCCGATCTCCGCAGCTCGGGCGCGCTCCTGGGCCATGTACGCCCCTCGCACCAGCTTGGCCCCGAAACACCAGCCCTCACGGCGAGCCAGCTCCACATCCAGAGTCACATTGTCATAGGCGTCCTATGGGGCCAGGGCCAAAATTCACAGGGAGCTTGGCTGAGCCAGGGCAACAGCCAGATGGGGCCTTCTTGGAGCCATGTGCTCCCAGGTGTAGTCAGCTCGGGACACCTGGGCCCCGGCAGCAGCTGTCTTGGGGAGGTGCAGCTCAGGGGCCCTAGAGCAGGTGTGGGTAAGTTTTGGCCTCTGACTTCTGTCCTCAAAGAGGGACGACAGTGGGAACATCTGCAGCCTCCTGTGTGGCCTGGGGACAGCCCTGTATGGGGGACAGCCCTGTGGGGGAGGCCCTGTGTGGGGCACAGCCTGTTGGGGAGACAGCTCTGGGGGGAGGCCCTGTGGGGGAGTGGCCCAGGCACCAGCAGTCACTGTGTGGTCCAGACCCTTGGGCTGCTTGAGACAGGGTGCTTGCCAGTGACACCTGCCTGGACCCCCTGAACCACCCTGTGTCCTCTGGGCACCTGGCTTGTCCCCGAGAGCTCCAGACCTGCTCACGCCCGGGAGCTCAGTGGCCCTCAGGCTAAAGCCCCCCTAGACTCCCTGAGTGCATGGAGAATCCCAGGGGAGTCTTCTGGGGAGGGGCCCAGAGCTGTCATCACATTCTTAGGGGATCTTGAACTCAAATCAAACCGGAGGAAACAAACATGAAGCCTTCAGAGCTCAGGTGCCAGGCATGTCACATGTTCCTCCCGCTCTCTACATGCTCTTGGCCCCGAGGAGGGAGGCAGGCAGCTGGGGTCAGAGGAGACCTTCCTTCCTGCACAGGGACAGTCACCCCGGCCTCGGCCTCCCCTGCACAGAAGGGCAGAGCTGCTGGGAACTGGGGCCCCACAGGGGCCGACTCCGCTGCAGAGGATCCCACCAGCGCCCCCAGGCGCGGCCCACTCCCCCCCGGCCCATCCCATGAGCCCCCAGCTTGTGCTCAGAGTGAGGCCAGCGACGCACAGAGCTAGACGAGGGCACACCCTCCCCGCATGCAGGAGGCCACAGGGGGGCCCACCTTGAGGTAGCACTGGTAGGTGCCGAAGACGAGCGGCCTCTCCACATTGAACTTGCGCTGCATCTCCAGCGTCAGGCGGCCGATGGCCGGCTGGAAGTAGGTCTGCTCGGCGTCTACCATGAGCCGCACGCCCACCTCCCTGGCTCTCTGACAGGTGCAGGGGTATGTTTGTGGCTCAAGTGAGGCAGGTGCCCTCGCTCTGCGTGAGTCCCAGGGCCCTCGAGCCCCAGCCCTCCACTCACCCAGGGGCTGGCTCACCCTGGCCAGGATGTCCATCCGCTGCAGCATCCTCGTCATCTGCAGCTCCTCCTCCTCGGTGAACCGGGACAGCAGGGGCTCCAGTTGTCCTGTCTGAGGGCACAGCGAGGGCTGGGAGGCCCCAGCTACTCCTCTCTCAGCGGCGCCACCCAGGCCCACCTGGACCTGCCGGTACCCAGTGCCAGCCCCCCGACTAGCCAATCCTCCTCACTCCCACTGTTTGCACGTGAAGGTCAGCGCCCTGCCCTGCACTGGCTGGACACGGTGACCTGGTGCCCTGGAACCTGGTAGCCAGCCAGCACAGGGCCTGGCAGCACCAGGAGGGAGCTCAGTGCCCATGCCAGGCCTGAACCCCAAAATGTGTACCCCAGGTCTCCCCAGGTCCCTAAGAGGCCCTACCACTGTGGGGAGGGCCCCTCTTCAGCTTCCATAGTACACTAAGGAAATGAACGCTCATCGCCCAGTCCAACAAGGAGGGCTCAGCTCAGAGCAGGGAGGAGGGACAGCCGTGCAGCACCCACTGATGCGTGGTGGGGGACAAAGGCACCCTCCAGCAAGATGCCTTCAGGAAGCCAGGTGCTCAGGGGTGACAGGCACCCACCCTGCAGGGCCCAGGTAGCCCTGGTGGCCTTGCCCCACTGGGCACAGATGGCATCTATCTCCAGCCACACACATGCTAGTGTCCAATAGCTGGTGGCCCTGCAGAAGGGCCATGCTGGACGTGCTGTACCCTGAGGCTCCAGGTCAGTGTCTCGAAGTTTGAGGCTGAGCCCTCTCATCTCAGGGGACACTTGCCCTTGGAACCCAGCCACCACGTTTGGAGGAAGCCCAAGCCAGCAGCCAGCACTGACCTTCGGAAGCGCAATTAGGGCATTTCAGAGAGGACCCCAGTGCCACCACCCTCTGAATACAGCTGCCCGGAACACCCTACGTGAAATCACCCAGCCAAGCCCTATCAACCCTAGAACCATAAGGGGGAAATAAAGTGACTATTGCCATTTCACAGCTCTGAGGTTTGAGGAGACCCAACACGCAGGATAGATGACTTAGGGAAGGTCCCCAGACACCGTCTCCTCATGGTGCAAGGCTCCATGTGGGTCTCTGTCCCACCAAGCACTCTGTGCATCACAGGGGTCTCTGAGGGGCCAGTGGTCTCCAGGGTAGGCCAGAGGAGACGCTCGTGGTGAACTGCGTTCCCTCCTCAGCCCAGTGCCCTGCTGAGCTGAGTCAGTGAGGGGACGCATTACCTGTGTGTTGGGGACCACCAGGTGCTGGGAGAGCTTGGTCCTGCTGTCGACGAGGCCACTCCAGTCCAGCAGGTCCACAGTGCTGGGGGAAAAGGCACGTCAGCATGGCGGCCAGCAGCAGCTCCACCCCGGGGAACTGGGATTGGTCAGGGCACTCAGGCCCAAACCAGCTGTTCCCCAAAAGAGCATCCCCGAACCCAACCACCACAAACCCCACCTTGGTGTTCAGTTTTAAAAAAACAGAGAAAATGTAAATAGCGTTCTCCATTTAAAAAATTAAAGCCAAAATACAAACATTCCTGCATCTAGATGGCAGTAAAAACGTGGCCACCCTGAGCCCAGTGCAAGAGACCAGGCAGGTGGAGGCAGACACAGCCTCTGAGGGACAGGAGGCCGGGGCGGGCAGGCCAGGACCCGAGGCTGGGGAGGACCAAGCGTGACACCCTCGGTCTGGGACCCACATAATTCTGTAAGAAACCGTCTCTGGGGTCTGGGTTGGCCCGGCGTCCACACTGCCCACCCTAGCCCCAGGGACTCCCGGCTCCCTGTCAACTCCTGCTCTGTGCGACTTGGGGGAGTGGTTCCTTGGGCACTGTCACCCACGAGGCCCACCCTCCTGGGCAGGGAGCCAGATCAGGAGATGCTGCTGGGCTCCGCTGGAACCCTGGCTGAACAGGAGCAGACACTCCCTTCTTAGCCCAGGGGCTGCTCTCACCCGGACACGCCCAGGGTCTCCGCCCTGAACCAGCCCTCGATCTCTGCCCTGGACGCGATGCCCATCTTGGCGATGCTTTCCTTGAGAAGTGAGAAGGCCTGGGTCAGCCCCGTTCACTCACGTCCCCACCCCCTTGGCTTATGGTGCTGTGTATCTGACATCATTACACCATTAGCGAGAGCAGAACCCACTTCTGGCTTGTGCTTCTGCTGCATAGACAGGTCTATCTATTCCTGCCTGTCTGCTGATGCAAGCCCCCTGCCAGGAGGCTCCCTGTGCCTCCCACCAGCACCTCCTCTGTCTCTGCTCAGCTTCAAGCCCTGTCCAGGGTCCCTGTGACCTGCCCCTCCTCCCCAGCCAACCCCAGCGGCTGCAGAGTGAGCCGCATGCCCAGCCCTGCATCAGCTCCAGGAACCTCCTGGCACAACTGCCCAGCCACCTCCCCTGGGCAGAGCTCTGCCTGAGCCACAGGGTGCCCACCCCACAGCCTCCAGGAAGGGGAGGGCTGCCCCACCTGCAGCGCAGCCACCTCCAGCTTCGTGTCCATGGCGGCCAGCCCTGCCTGCCCTTGCTCTACGGCCATTTCGTGAAAGAAGCGTCTCCACTTAGTCAGCACGTCTGAGAACTGCAGCTGCAAACACAGGCCTGAGTGCCGTCTGGGGTGCACACCCACTGCCCACCCCAGCCCCCGCACAGGCCGGCTCAGCCTCCACAGCACCCACATGTGCACCTGCAAAACACCAGCTTCTGCGGGTAGAAGGTTCTGGCACTTACCAGAAACTGGGGTCTCCCCAACGCAGTGAGCTTAATGGCCAAGAAGCCGTCCTCACAGGCTCCGCCTATCAGAAGCCATAGGAAAAGCTGCAAAGGCCCCAGAGAGGCACGTGGGGAAGGCACAGGGTGGGAGGAGGGCAGGAGCCTGGGTGACCCAGCCCTGAGGCCCCCGCCAGGTAGGAGGGGCCGGTTGTGTTTACCACATGCATACAGGATGACAGTGGGCGAAGAAGCCACCTGCCCACTGACGAGCGGCCCCAAGTCTCCCTGCCTCAGTTTCCTCCCCTGTGCCACCAGCACCACAGGCAGACCCACAGACGCAGAGCAGGAGACACTCCTCACCCTGATGCTCCGATGGCCGTGCCAGCCACCCGGGCCCTCCAGCCCCGTTAGGAGCCTAAAACGCTCAGATGGTGTGGGACTCACTGCCTCTAACAGGAGGGTCGCAGGGCCAGCACAGGTCGTGCGGGGTCTGGTGTGTTTCTGATGAGGGATGCTGGGCCTCAGTGACCTTTGGCTTCACTTACCCTCTACGGCAGCCGCTACCCCTCCAGGGGCCCCCCGAGGCTGTGCCAGGGAGGGATTTCCTGTTAGAGGATGCAGCACCAGCTCCCTGAAGGGAACCTTGACCCCGGGGGCTTCGGGCACCTCAGCCAGCAGACACCAGCCAACTTCCTACAGCTCCATCCTGGCACGGCACCCAGAGAAGGAGTATGCGGAGAGGGCAAAAGATGGAGTGGGTGCAGGAGATGCCTCCCTGGAGGCAGCGGGCCAGTCAGGAAGGGGCTGGACGGGTCGAGCTGCATGTGACTGGAGCCCAGCCCCCTCGCTCAGCGCAGCCTGGCGTTCACCCATCAGCGTCTCCACCAGCCCAGGCCCTGCCAGCCAAGAGGGGGCCTCACCTGAGGCCTCGATGCAGCGCAGGAACGTCTCCATGTGGCTGTCGCACTTGGCCTCGTTGGCGTAGAAATAGGTGCGGGCACTGATGACGCCATCCCTGCGGTCTCCAAAGGCACGGTGGGCCTGGTACTGCTTCTCCCTCTTGTTCGTGCCTGGGAAGGCGCACACGCCTGAGCTCAGAGACAGGCTCTCGGACGTCCCGGGCCCCTGCCCAGCCTGGTGCCTGCACTGTCCTGCCCTGGCTCCCCAGCCCCAAGCCTGCCCCCTCTCTGCACTCCCAGCCCCCTGGCTAAATCTCCTCCTGGGGCAAACAGAGCCAGGAGGGCAGAGCCTCCATCAGAGGCCTGATCCGCCGAGAGGGCCACGAACAAGCAGTGACCGTCCTTCACCAGGCGCTGCAGGTGTTATCAGAGCCCAGAGCCCAGACTCTTCTGAGCCACCAGGGGGTGTACATGGCAGGGACAGCACCTGTTCCTGAACTTCAGCCTCTCACTCACCGCTGCCATCCCTCTCCGCAGCTGAGGTACAGGACCTGCGGGGAGGAGGAAGGGGGCGAAGGTCAGGGTCACAGCACCTGGGCCGCAGGTAACAGCAAGTTCCCATCAAGGCTACACTGTGAATCTAATCTTGACCTTGGTGGAGGGCTGGCTCCAAGGCGCAGCCCCAGCCCCACCTAGGCCTGGTGGAACCACCTGAGTCTGGGAGGGACAGTTTATGGCGCCCAGGAAGCCTAGGGCCATTGTGGGTGGAGCCCCTGCCTCCCTACCGCTGGGTAAGTCCTCAAAACAGCCCAGGGCATGCAGTAGGGATTCCTGCTCCCAAGGAAAAGATTGAACACAGAGCCAGTCAGGGGAGGCCACCAAGCATCCTAAGTTCCCGACATCCAGCGGGAGGCCCCTAGCTCTCTGATGACACCCCCACCCCCACCCCACCAAGGCCAGCTCAGTCCTGCAGCCCTCCAGGCAACCCCTGCTGTATTCTTGCCCCTGAGGCCTATTTTCCAAGCAGCAACCGGAGACTTTGTTTTAAAATGCAAATCAGATCACACCATCTCATAGGGTTTAAGCCCCTGGCTGGGTTCTCACCATGCCCCAGGCCCACCCCAGGGGCCTGCCCCACCTCAAGAGGAGATGGCCCCTGGCAGTCCCCCTGGGTGGTCCCCAATGGCCCATCCCTCCTCCACAGCTCCCACCCCCACCCAGTCCCTGCCATGGCTTCCCGGTACTCAGTTTGGGTGCTGTGCCATTTGGGAGAGAGCCAAGGCCGAGAAGCCTGCTCAGATGAAGGGACGGCTCCTCCAACCCTGACTGCTCCAGCAGCTTTGTCCATCGTGTGACTTTGCATTTAAAGCCTTACTAAGTCAGTCACCACAGAGTGGAGCGAGCTCACTCAGACCCTGGGGCTGCAGCTCTGCTCCCACCCCCCAGGAAGGGCAGCGATGAGCGAACCTGGCATTGGAGGCCTCAGTGCCAGGAGACCCTGGCTGCAGCTTTTGACCTCACAGCTCTCGGAGCAAGCCCTAGGCCACCGGGCCACTGCCAGGAAGCCCTCCTTCCCTGGCTGCCTCCCAGGCAACCCCAGGACCCTTATGTGGGGACCCTGAGCCAGACACCCAGGTCAGGACCCAACAGTCCTGGCAGCCAGGCACAGCCTGCACTGGCTTCCCACGTGCTGCCACACCCGCAAGGCCCAGCCTGGGGACGCGAGCTGGCAGGCAGCCATGGCTCCAGCCTCCTAGCCCTGGTGAGGAGACGTGACAGCAGGAGATGGTGAAGCATCACCATGTAATGAGGGAGCAGGCAGGCCCCACATGCAACCCCCGCCAGGGCGGGGAGTTCCCTGGCCTTCCTGAGGCCCCTGGCTTACACATCTCAAGACCAGTCACAGAGCCAAGGCCCAGGTACAACCAGGCAAAAGCTATCCCCAAGAGACACCCAATGTCCACACTAAGGGAGGAGGCACTCAGACACTGCCCGGGGCAGAAACCTGTATGGCCAGGACAGCAGATGCGGGCCTCAGGGGCCTGCAAGACTAGAGGGGAAGGCTCCATCCAGAAACCTCCCAGCCCACGGTTCAGATGACACAGTCATCTGCCTGTGGAGTGGCCAACCACCTTCCAGGGGACAGGTAATCCCAACCCCAGGACCAGGGGACAAGAGAAGTTCCCTCTGGATCAGAGCCACTCCCTTTCCTGCTCCCACATGCTCAGCCATGTGAAACAGCCCGAGGCCACCACTATTTCCATCAGGGAACCTCCTGGGCAGACACCAGGCAGCGCTTCAGAAAAGGGGCAAGCAGAGAGCCCAGCTGACTGCCCAGCGCCCACAGCGGTCAGGGATGGCCAGGTCTCAGAGCAGACACCACTCGGCAGGGACAGGGCCACGTTCCCACCAGGCCTGGCGGGTAGGTCACAAGGAGATGGAGACGGCTATTCCCAGGCAGGTCAGGGGTCACATCACCACGGGGCTTGGGGGCAGAGAGTGCACCCTGTGCACAGCTGAGACAGCTGTTTCCATATTCAGGAAACCTGGCTTCCGACACCCAGGATGTGGCTGTATCAGGGTGTGGGCGTCACAGGGAAGCTGCGGCATGTGCCACAGGTGGCCGTAGGGTTCCAGAGGTGGGAGGGTGAACAGGCACACTCGGGGCCCTGAGCAAGGTGGGGACCACGTTCTGATGCCTCCCCAAGGCCGGGCCCCACCTCCACCAGCCCCCGACCCACACAGCCTCAATCAGACACCCAAAACACAGTACGCAGAAGGGCACATGTGCACGCACTCTCGCACATGCAATGCAGCGGGGCAGAGAGCTCTGGGAAACTTGTAGCTTGGTACCTATTTGAAACAAGTGGGCAGGGCGGGGTAGGGTGTAAGGGCAGGTGGGAAGGACCACACCCTGCCCCTGCACACCTTCCCTAGCTCACCCAGGCCCTGCCTCCCCATCCCCTCGAGCTGCCACCAGATTGGGGACCAGGGCCCAGGCCCCTCCAGCCAGCCCTGGACTTGCAGAGCCAGATGCCCGCCATCCACCCCACCCAGGCCTGCCCTCACGGTACTGTCATCAGGAGACACCCTGGGCCCTTTCCCCACTGTGGGGCTCCTCTACCGGTGTGGGGCCAGGCCTGGCCTCTGCATTCTCACAAGCCTCCAGGAATCCCTGCCCCGCCCCTCCTTCAGGTAGGCACTCCCCTCCTACCCTCCAGCCTTCCGCCGCCTCCGCCTCCCTTAGGAGCACTGCCGTCCTTCCTGTGCTGCTCCTGGTGAGGCCTGGCACACCCTGTGGCCTCTGCTTCTCTCCCCAGAGTAGGGTCTATGGGCCTTGTGACAGAAATGTAGGTTTGGGAGATGGATCTCTGGACCTCACCAAGGACACTGAAACAGTTCCCTGCACAGGGCCTGCATGGCTGGTCCTGCGTGGTGCGGACGTGGGACTGACACTTGCAAGCCCGCTCTGCCCCCGTGGCCCAGGCAGATGGGAAGGGACTGCCACTCACATCCCAGAGCCCAAGCAGGGCTCCTGCAGACTGCAGCTGCCAGCAGCAGGGTGGCCCAGGGGAGGCGAAGGGCACAGTGGGGGCAGGGGCACCCCCGGGCAGTACAGGCTGGCCCACCTCCACACTTTCCTGTGGGGCAGGGAGGAAGCCAGGCAGGACCGACCCCCGGGGAAAGGAGTCTTTTCATACCAGAGGTGCCTGAGGGAAAACCCCATTGCAAAACCAGCAAGCCCATTCCTTATTCAACAGGGGCCTCGGCAAAGGCCGCAGCCAAGTACCCAGGTGCCGGAGAAGCTTGGGCTGCTAGGAACAGAGGAGGGTCCCAGGCTGGAGCACCCCGCCTTCAAAATAGCCAATCACAAGGCAGGGGTGGACTCCCCAAGCCAGTCCTCCCCCAGCTGGCCTGCTCAGGCAAGAAGCACGGACATTCTGTCCCCAGGACTGGAGGCCTCATGTGACTGCCTTTCCCTCCCCACCCAGGCCAGCCAAGCCGGGGAGGAGCAGAGTAAACACCAGGCATAACAGGGGCCACCGTAGGCCTTCCTCGAGCCTCACGCGCATCTGGCCCAGCTGCTGCCAGGACATCAGGGCCCCAAATCCCAGTGAGGGCCCAGCTTGGAGGGGGACAAGTGCCAGCACAGGCATTTCTCAAAGAAAGGGCTGGTCTCCCCTGGACCTTTCATGAGCCAGCCACCACTACTGGAAGCAGAGGGCAACATCACCCTGTCATCTGTCTTGCTGCACAGGAGGAGGGATCAGGGAGGTACCCAACTGTCCCCTACACTCATTGCCCAGGGAAGGGGCCCCACAGCCAGTCAGTGACCACGAGAGTGGCCTGGCCATGCCACTCCTGGCTGTAATTCCCTTCTCCACGGACACCCAGGCAGAGGCCAGGCCTGGAAGGCTCCACACCCACCTGCAGACAAGAAAACTATCCCAGGGCAGGCTGGGGCTTGGCAGTCTGGGGCGGTGGGACCCGCCCACTGGTCAGGAATCCTTCCAGAAGACAGGAAGGGGCTGGAGCAGGGAGCCAGAGCAGCCTCTTACAGGAGGTTGGCACACATTTGTGCGGGCGGCCAGCTAGCACATGTTCTCAGCCTTGGGCAACAGCTTCTCTGCCCAACTACTCAACTCTGCTCCCAGAGGGTGAGAGCAATTTGAATTTCACATAATTTTCATGTGCCACAAAATAGTACTCTTGTTTTGATTTCTTTCAACCATTTGAAAATGTAGAAACCATTCTTAGCCTGCAAACCGTACAAGACCGAGCAGTGAACTAGACAGGGCCAGGGGCCACAGTTTGCCCCAGACCCTCGACCCTCCTCAGGCCTCCTACACACCTGACAGCCCAGAGCTGCCATCGGCACAATGACAACACAAGAAATCCAGGCAGAAACCAGGTGGACCGTCAGCAAGGGGACCAGGCATGGCCCCGTAGGCCCCCAAAAGCCCAGGGCCACTTGGGGTCACCAACAGCACGCCTGTGCAGCCTCTGGGCAGGCCTTACTCCATCTCCTTGCGCTCGGCCTCCTCGGGGCTCAGGTCCTCCTCCACGCTGTAGTCTAGGATGGAGCCAACACCGAAGGCCTCGTTGTGCTGGAGCAAGGGCCGGATGGACTCCTGGTCCTCGCCGGCCACAAACTGCCCATAGAAGGTCATCTTCATGAGCTTGTCAAACAGCCTGTGCCCCAGAAGTTTCCTGGTGAAGTGGAGCAGCTGAAAGGCAATGGGAAGTGGCTGTCTGGGGGTGCCCAGCCTCCCCTTCCCTGCAGGACACCCCAGCCTACCCCTACCCTGACACTTCATTCCAACCACAGGGCCTTGATACGGCCTCTTGGGACAGACTCAGCTCATGACGTCGACTTTACAGTGAAGACCACCCAAAGCAGCTTGCTTCTGCACACACAGCAGTTTGACCAGGGCAGGGCGACCCCCTCCCTGCCATCATGAGCATGCTGTTCCCGCCTGGACGCCACCCCTACAGCGCCCACTCTCGGTCACCCCCGCTGCACACAGGGCTGCCTGACCACCACTTGGTGGGTAAAGAGGAGAACAGCTGGCGCCCCCAAGGGACAGCACTGGGCATTTTCCAAACATTCTCTATAACCACACCTTAGCAGTTCCACTGGGAAGGAGGCTGATCTGATGAGACTCTCTAGAATTCGAGTTCCCAGATTTTTCAATATTTGGTTCACTCTTTTTCTATGTCCCTAAAACAGTGTGCCTGGCACGAGGCCAGCTGAGCAACGAACGCATGCAAAACTCAGACTGAGTGTGACCTCAGCCGGAGTGTGGCACGCCCTGCCAATAGGGACAGTGAGCCCAGGGACCGTCTACGGGGGCCTGGGAGACGACTGCCCACCCAAGGGCCAGCGGGGGTGGGGCAGGTTGTCCAGGCTGACTGGCCCCAACTGCAGACATGCCCCTGCGGAAGACACTGCCCAGGAACCACTCAGCTCTCTCCCCCAGTCTCACCCCATCATTTATTCAAACGTCCCCAGTGGCTGCATGCCAGGGACAGTACTAGTGACTGGCAACAGCTAGAGGAAACCAACCAGGAGCACACATCCTGGCAGGAGGCACCCCGAAGGGGAGCACCTTCACATGACTCAGAACGGTGGTGGGGCGGGGCAGGGTAGGGAGTTTGCTAACCCAGTAGGGGGGCCCACAAGGCAAGGAGGTGACATGCTGAACTGGGTGAGCTGAGGGTGGGGCAGGGGGGCAGCCAGGAACAGTGACAGCAGGAGGCTGGGGGGCCAGGAGGGCTGAGTGTGATGCTCAGAACGCACCCCCCGCCCCCCGTGCGGAAACACCACGTCCACTGCCCCCGCCTACTTGGCTCCAAGACAGGAAGAGTCTGGAGTTTCTCAAACCCGATGGATACCAGAACTACTTTCACGGAGAGCATCTCTTGGGACCGGAGTTTCAGGAACAAGCTCTAGTCTAAGCAAAAGCATCAGCAAGTTGAACACCTTCATCCGCAAATAAGCCCCCAGCGACTCTACGCGGCCCACAGGCAGATGCAGCCACCAGCTTTTCCTGAACCGCACACTGGAGCCTGCAGAGATGCCTCCCAGCCACTGCTGTGCGTGGCACCGGGCAGCCCCAGGGACCAGGGTGTCCAAGGCAATCATCCCCACCTTCCTGCAGCCTCTGCCCAGTATCTGACTTCACTGCATTTTGTTCTTTTATAAAGAGGATCAGAAACCGGAAAATGAACATGCCAACATCTGAGATTCAGGCAGGCCTCCACGTCTCACTGAGCCAGCCTCTGTCCCCGCCGGGCAGCACCCGGGGCCAGCTGGGAGAAAAGGATGGGTCTTGGACACATCAAAGATCACCCAAGTGGCAGGCGGAGCAGAATTGGGGACCTGAAAACCATCATTCAGCTCTGCAAAAGAACCCCTGGCCTCGTCTACATCAGCTCTGAGGGAGCCCTCAGAAACACACCATGACAGAGGGCGGGTGACTGTCTGCTGCAGGGGCCGGCAGACTTCCCTTGCAGGGCCAGGCGGTCTCTGTGTTACTAACTGCTAGCCTCTGCCACAGCCAGCACTGAGTGAAGGGGATGCAGGACTGCACTGGCTCCAGGAATGCTTGATTCCAAAAGACGGGGGCAGGTGGGACGTGGCTGGGCCGTGCCCGGAAGCACCCGGCACAGGCTGTGCAAGCACACGGGACAGGCTGGCAATTTTAAAGCCAACTCCAGAGCAAAGTGTAAAACCATCCTGGTGTCACATATGTCCTGGTATGGCTCTACTGAGACCAGAGCAGCCCCCCACCTCTTCTCCAGGTGAGGAACCCTGCAAGGATTCAGGAACTTGCACCAGTAACACATGCACTTGTTTTCACTTTGAAAGACTCACACATATGTAGAGATACAACTGACTATGGAGCCAGTCCTCTCCCCTCCCTGCCCCTCAGGCAGCCACTGCACCCTTTGTCCTGTCCCCTCTTCTGCCATGGCTCACACCCAAGCACAGCACTGCTGTCCCGGAAACCTGGACTTTCCTGAACCCTCCTTAAAAAGGCCTGCTTTCAGGCAAGTGCAAGATCCAACAGAGTCCCTAAATGTCCCTGTCGAAGGAAGCAGCTCAAACCTCGGCTCTTGAAGCTGGATGCTCCTCAGCTGGAGGCTCCTCGGGGCAGGTTTGACAGCCCAACAGACCCTGTCTAAACAGGAGGAATTTTTGCCGCAGGCCAGAGGATGAGGCCACCCACAGGACCGGGTTCTGATGAGCAGCTCACATGCTCAGAGCCTGGCCTCAGCTTCTGGTGCTTCCAGCACCAGGAGCTGAGGCCACTGACACCAGTGGCACCACCAGCAATGACAACAGCACAGACTCTAGAGGGCCTCCCCAGGACACAGACTGGACCCATCGAGAGCCTGGGAAAAGTTGTCTCCAGATGCCCTGCCTCTTCCAGGTACCCACATTCCCATCCCTGAGTCCTGGCACTTGCCCAGGCAGGCACCCCATAATGGAGCCAACACATCCCTCCCACGGTTAGCACTACGGTGCTGGGGCCCATTCCCCTCAGCAGGCTGGGCACCAAACCCCACGCCCCAGCTCTGCTGGGTACTCAGTGCAACAGCTGGTTTTGAATCTGTGGAAGAAAGTTCAGTGCTGTGCCTAGAGTTTGGCCTAGCCGGTTTCTAGGCCTCTCTCCCTCCCAGCCAGCCACAGGGTGGGCAAGGCTTCTGCACTGCTTCTCGTCTCACCTAGCAGCCACCCAGCGTACCTGTCCTTGTCCCCCACAGAGACCCTGTGGTTGGCCGCTCCCTCCCCGGCATTCCTGCCCCACTGCCTCACCCTCCCTATTGCAACACCACTGGTGCCTGCTGCTCTTCCCTAGATGCTGGCACTCTCCAGAGGGTCCTCTTCACCTCCCCTTCCCCCGTGGGTTCCTTCACCTGGAATGTCCCTTCTCACCCTCCTGCTCCCTTGGCCTGGGCTCTCCACAGCCAGGGCTTGACCTCAGACATCGACGTCTGCACAAACACAGAGATGGCCTCCCAGAGACCTCCATTCTTCTTCCAGCCCTTCTTCTTCCACCGTCCTCCCCACTCCTGCCACCGTAAGTCCCAGGCTCCAAAGTGACAGTGAATCCCCCCTGGGATTCGGCCCAACTCCTCACAGCCACCGGACTCTGACTGTGTGGACCTCTCCCCACCTCCCACCCAAGAGGCCTCATCTAAGCTGTGTGTCTTGGTGATTCCTCTCCACCCCTGTGATGCCTCCTGACTCCCCAGGGGGGCCCAAGGGGCCAGTCTGGTGATCTCAGCACAGTCTCACCCAAGAAATCGAAAGTACTAGATCCCCAGTGGCAACAACTTGACTCCCGCAAAGTCTTCCCAGGGTCACCTTGAAATAACTGTCTCTCTAATACCGCCAGACTGTGGCTAAGATGTTCTGCTTGTCACTCCCCCAAAGCCCTCACACATTTTAAAGTTACCATGTGTAAGTTTAAGGTTGGACTTTGAGCGTCTTCCCGTCTTTCCCCTACACTGTTCAGAGTGGCGGTGCCTGAGGGGTGGCTGGGTCCCAGTCTGTGGAACTCTGGGGTACTGGGCCATGGGCCCTTCAATATCCCAGACAACATGGAGCAACATGAAGGATACTCAATTATAAATCCCAGGTGATAACTCTGTACTCCTGCAAGTGGTCTATATCTTAAAACTTAAAATGGTCTTTGTTTCGTTGTTTCTACTTGCTAGTATCCACAAGTAAGAAAATTCCCGAGGTCCGAGAGGGGCACAGGAAACACCTCCCTTCCTGGCTCCCTCGCAGCAGGCGATGCTCGGGAGGCCCGGGTTTTACACCTGCAAAGTCCACGATGGCTCCCGAGACCCGCAGGACCCCGCGCGCCCGCCCCGCCCCTGCCCACCGCGCACCTGCTCGTGGCGCGCCAGCAGCGCGGGCGAGGCGCACAGGCGCAGCACCAGCAGGCTGCGCGCCAGCTCCCAGCTGCGCCGGCTGCGGTACGCCTCCTGTGTGTTGCCGAAGTCCACGGCGGGCACCGGCGGCCGCACGGTCTCGGTCGCCCCGCGTCCCGGCACCGCTCCAGAGCCCGCGCCGGGCTGCTTGCGGGCCGCCGGCGCCGTGGACAACCCGGCGAGGCGGGGCAGGCCGGGGCGCAGCGCGGACCAGAAGCGCTTCAGAGCCATGGCGGGGAGGCGGCGCCCGCCGCGGCCGCTTAAGTACGCAGCGCTGGCCCCGCCCCCCCGGAGGCCCCGCCCCGCGCTCCGAGCCGCGCCCTCTCCTCAAGCAGGAGGCGCTATTCCTCGCTAGAATCCGCACCCTCGCTTCTGGAGGCCCCGCCCCGCCCTGGTGGCCGCACCCCACGCCAGGACCCGCGCCCTCTCTCCGGGAGGCCCCGCCCCTCGACCCGCGCCCTCTCTCCGGGAGGCCCCGCCCACGCGCTGCGGCCAACAGTGCGTCCGAGGCAGGCCCCGTCCCCCGGTGGTGCCGCGCGGGAGACGGGCTTTTGCAGCCGGCGGCCACACCCCACCCCCCACCCACGGAGACCCTGTCCCCTCGACTGTCTGCCCGGAGCCCCGCCTTCCCTACAGGAGACCCCTCCCCCTTGGGAGCGGGTCCGAGACCAGGTGTTTCCCAGGTCGCCAAGCTGTTCAGGTGGGTCCGGAGCCCGCCGGTCAACGCCATCGCACATCTGGGTTCCTGCCTTGTCGTGGAGCTGCGTGGACTCACAGCTGAGGCCAGATCGACTGAGAATCCAGCTCAAGAAGGTGGTCCCTCTTCTTTCGTTTAAAGGGGCGTTTGGGAAGTCGTCCTCTCCCTCCCTCCCGCCTCTTAGGGGCTTGCCCAAGGCTGTTCCTCTCCTGTCCTCACACCCGCTGGGCAAGCGCGACCCCGAAGCTCCCCTTGGCACCCCCGTGGTTCCCTTCCCTACCTCTCCACTGCAGGTCTCCGGGGCCACTCGGCCTTCCCCGCAGGCCCTGCCTTCAGTGCCTCCAAGGGAGCACAGAGCAAAGCCACCTGCTTTGCCCCCTCCCGTGGTGCTCCCTCTCCTCCTGAGGGCCTTTGCACTCTGCACCTCTGCCTCTGATGCCCGTTGCAGATGTCACCTCCTTAGAGGAGCCCACCCTGACAGCCTGCCAGAGTGCACCCTTCTGCCTCTCACCCCTCCTCCCTCTCTACTCCTCATGACATGCTGGTGGTAGCCTCCCCTACCTCACCCACTTGGTCTCTCCCCCCCACCCCCTGCTCCATGCATCTTGGTGGAAAAGCCCCAGGTGCCTTGGACACCCTGACCAGTTCAGGGGTGATGACATTTGAGGTGACATTTAATTCTTTGTGGTGGCTGCTGATCTGTGCATTGCAGAACGTACGTCAGCATCTCCGGCCTCCACCCACCAGATGCCAATAGCACACAAACACACACAGTTGTGACAACCAAAAAACATCTGCAGACATTGCCAGGTGCCCCTGGAAACACCATCACCACCACTCTGGATTGAGAGAGGCTTCCTGATGGGGCCATGGCTTTTCTGCCCCTCTTCCTCCTGCCGGAATTGATGAGAAAAAAATGGGAGACGAAAGGGGTAGGTGAGTCGAGGCTCAGAAGTGGGAACTCAGGGGTTGCTTCTGCAGCTCAGAAACTTTGCTGAGCTGGAGAGGGGCCAGCCTTGGCAGCTGGCTACAGCCACCAGAGTCTTTCCTTCCCTCCTCCTGGTGGCCACTGCCCACACCCCCCGCCCCCTGACCTCTCTCCCCATGCTGGTCATTCTGCCAACCCCTGCTCTGAGCCCCAGGCCGTATGCATGCTGCTCTCCTGCACCCATCCCTCCCTGCAGCCCTGTGTGCTCGTTCCTGTTCCTCCTCAGGGTCAGCCTGGTGGGCGCCTCCACTGGCAGACCCTCCCTGACCCCCAGGGCTGGCTTGGGTACCTAAGCGGCTGCAACTGCCTCTCCTCTTCTTACACTGTAGCTGGTGACTTTGATGGCTGTGTTCCAGTCACACTGCCACCTTGATGTGTATTCAGTGAATGAAGGAAGAAATTGGTGTGGGAATTGATGTGGGAAGTTTGGCCCAAGGCTCTAGGCTGGTGACTGTGGATTAGAGATGTATCCCCCAGACCCTATTCTGGCCCCTGAGTCACCCTGGACCACACCTGGCCCTCACCCAGCACCCAGGGACCTGATCTAGATCGTCTGGACCCTCTGCAGCAGGTCTGAGGCCAAGGCTTCCCAATGGCTCTGCTCCTGCTCTCCGCGAAGACACCACTTTGATGTGTCCTCTCCTCTGGTGGGCACTTGAAGCTGGCCTGGGCCGCAGTCCTCCCCAGAGCATCTGCACCTGGGCAGCAGAATTGGACCCCAGGTCCCTATTCCTCAGCCTGCACCCAGGCCCCGTGTGTGGGAGGAGCAGCACTACTGAGGCAGGCGCACACAGGTCCGTGGATGCTGGCAGCATGCTTCAGAAAGTGGGAGGAGCTCACCCTGACCCTGACCCGCCCCACCAAGAGCGAATGCTGTGACAGCCCATTTTCTAGATAAGCCTGGTGATCTTATTTGCCCCTGCCCTGGGATCTGCCCTCTGATGCACTCACGTCAGCGGCAGCTGTGCCGCTCTCACTACGCTGAGGATGGAAAAGCCCTCCACACACTTTTGGTGAAATGACTGCGTATGTGACAGCCAGCTCACTGGCTTACCACCATATCACCTGTCCTCTCACATTCATGACAAACACCAAATGAGGGCTCAGACCTCTCCATCCCTGTTCTGGCTCAGGAAACAAAAGAGCAGAATCTAAGCCAAAATATACCTGGAAAGGTCGCAGCAAGGCCAAGGCAAAACTCACAGACACAGAGGCCCTTGTCATGCAGTGGCCTATGGGGGCCCATCCTGGCTCCAGCACCACAGCCACCCAGGACAGCCCTCGGGTATTCTCAGGCCTGTTGTATGCATGTGGGAGGGTCACACTGACTCCCTCACCTCACATCTTACAGTAAACCTTTTACTTTGCAGCCTGTGGCTCAAAACCAAAGGGTTTGAGAGTGACAACCAGGAAGACAGCAGAGCAGGAAGCTCAGGACCCCATCCCTCCACTGGAAGAGAACTGAACTAAGAAGAACTGTCCTAAGCAATGATTTGGGAGCACTGGAGTCTAGGAGGGGACTAGACTTGTCAAGGGGACAGTTTAGTGAAGAGGCTGGTCAATTTCTGCCTTTATGGGAACAGCTACCAAGCCCTGTTCCCCATGCCAGCAGGAAGCGCTACGCAGTCCTGGCTCCTGGCAGCACTGTTCACGGTCGCCGAAGTGTGCAGACAACCCAAAGGCCCGTCGACGGTGGGGGGGGGGGCGGGGGATGGGTAAACACAGTCCATCCATATGATGGAATACCGCTCAGCCACGAGGAAGAAATGAAGTGCCGATACGTGCTATAACGTGGATAAACTTAGAAGACACTGTGCCAAATGAAAGAAGCCAGACATAAAACACTGCATGTTGTCTGGTTGCATTTGTATGAAATGTTCAGAATAGGGAAACCTACAGAGACAGAAATCTCATGGAGGCAAACCCTTAGGGTAGACTGGTGGGTACCAGAGGTGGGGGATGGGAGGTGTGCGGAGTGACTGCTAATGTCCACGGAGTTTCTGTGGTCCTGGGCGTGCTCTGAAACTAGACGGTGGTGATGTTTGCTCCACCTTGTGAATAGACTAAAAACCATTTAGCTGTGCCCTTGAAGTGGGAGAATTGTATGGTATGTGAATTGTATCTCAATAAAGCTGTTATCTTAGAAAAAAAAAAATCACAGGCAAGGGCTCAAAGTTACAGCATTTGCTTCAAGGAAACCTGTGGCCTGGCACAGAGGCAGAGGTGGCAGGGGCTGCCAGGTGCAGGGCTGCAGAGAGAGGGCGCGAGAAGCAGGAGCACAGGGTTTGCCTGGATCATCTACTCGCCTGCAGACTGTGGCAGGATGGGTGCCCCAGGTCCACCGGGAGAACTCACCTGTGCGTGCCTGTGGAAACAAGGCTGGCCGGTAAGTCCCCAGCTGCACGTGACAGTCACTTATTTCACAGGTGCTCTGTAAAGGCTAGGAAGCTGGTCCTGCATTCAGCAGGAAACCCTCTGCAGACAACCACCCTGTGCCAAAGGGCGGTCCCCAGGGCCAGGGGGGCCTGGGGGGAGTGAGGGGACTGTCCTCAAGGAGGTCAGCTGGATGGGTGAGGGCTCTGTGGATGGGGGTGGGCTCCTGTTTCCCAGCTCAAGAGACGGGCGGATTCTAGAGGGCCAGGCTCAGGCATGAGGCAGGGCCCAGCCACCGGTCGCCCCCCGAGGTTGGGTCAGTCACCAGGGCCAGCAGCTCTGGAGGAGGAAGCAGGCAAGAAACAGACCTTCAAGGACGGAGGGGCCACGAAGCTGCCCACCTGGCCCCCTCAGCACACTTACAGACCCCCTTTTGCTACATTCAGACAGCCCCCCTCAGGGCCTCCCACTTCCCCTCTTGCACTGACACCCAGTGAAATATTTGACGTTGGAACTCTGTCAAAGTTATTTTTCGCCATGTGCCTCTTTACCTGCATCTCCTGAAACATTTGTTTGTCTGCCCGAATCGTGGCTACCTGCGTTCCTTCTGATCTGTTGCATTTTGCTGCTTGCTGTATACTTGCTTCTACTGATATATTTGCTCTGTCTGCAGGCAGAGAAATTCATTCACATTTGTTTAATCTGGGGCTCGTCTTCCCGTTATCAGCCTGCACCAAACGTGGACTGGTATTTGCTCCCCGGCATGTAAATTCCCTCATTGCCAAGTCATCCCTTTATCCACTCCACGCCGGCGTTCCTAGATCCTACTCAAGTTCTAGTTAGCTATGTCATTTTATTCATTTTTATCTTGGAGTTAGTAAAATATGGTTGTATTTCCTGAAGTTAAGATTGTCTGCTAGATCCCAGAACATGCCACTATGTTTACCTGAATGCCACCGCGCTTCGTCACTTTATATAACCATTTTCAATGCGTGTATGAGGAAAGGTATTTAGATTCCACTCCTGCCCGCACCCCCACCCCCAGATTCTTTTCTTGTAAAATCGGTATATTCTGCTGACGAGCATGGCATTCACAACCTTTCTGCAGGGTGGCTGGTGCCTGTGTAGGCAGGAGCAGGTCCCCAGGGACCTCATCAGAGGGCTGACAGGTACCGGGCAGGATCTCAGAGGCAGGGCCATTCCAGGAAGCTGTGACTTTGGTCTCCCTGCGGCCCCTCCCTAGGGGACACATACATACAACCCTGTGAGTCTGGGGCCTGCACCCTTCATATCTGGGCGGGATGTCAGATCTGTGGGGTTCTGTGTGGTCGACCAGGAACCAAATGCTTGGTGACACCAGGCAGCAGCCTGAGATAATCTCCCCACTGGCCCCCACCCGGCCACAGCCTCTCTCTCCAGCCCATCGGAGGCAGCGTGTACATCTGGAATGTACCTGGTGCCCAAGCGGCGTTCTCCCCAGGGAGCGGTGCCTGGCCATCCCACAAGGCCCAAGGCTTCAGGGCAGGACATGGCATAACGCTGAGGTGGGCAGCTCTGGTGGTCTCTGCCTATGCCCCAGGCCAGCAGGGTCCCTAGGAGGAGCAGGCTGGGATAGGTACTTTACATAATTCTGTCTACTTTGAGCTTCTTAACCCAATGAGCCTGTGTGTGACTTTTGTGATTTAAAAAAAAAAAGGATTTTTTAAAGTGCTTAAATAATATCCCTAGAAAGAAAAAGCCAAACAGTGGCTTCTGGCTGGCGCTCCTGAGGGGCTGGCCCGAGTCGGGGTTACGTGACCGACTGAGCCTTTCTTGGCTTTCAGAAATGGCTCCGTCCCTGCCAGACACCACCAGCAGGGGGCACAGCCCCAGGGCTGGCTGTACCTCCTGGGCCCCCAGTGAGGGGGCAGGGGGCTTCCGAGTGGAGGTGACAGCTGAGCTGAGATAAGGAGGACCCTGCCCAGGTGAGGGAGAGCCAGGGCCTCGGACACAGGAGACGGTCCATGAAGCTACAATGAGACTTTGACCAGGGAGGGCAAGACCAGCACCCCAAACGAACTTTTAAGCCTGCCCCCTTGCCAGGGGGTGTCCTGGGGGGCTGGCAGCCTCAACTTCTGACCTGTACACCCGAATTCCATCATCCCCCTCTAGCAGCACAGGTAGGGCCCAGACCCCACAGGCCCCCATAGGTCCCAGCTACTGGGTTGCAGGTGCCAAGCCACAGTCTCTACTGGAGGTCTGAGCATGGTGGGGGTGGGGAGGGCAGAGGCTCCCTGCTGGCTCAGGTGTGTCAGAATGTCAGTGACCAGAGTCTTCCCAGGGGTCACCAAGGGGAGTTCCTTTGGTGGGGACAGGGACAGACAGGGCTGCACATCACAACTGCGGGTTCTGCATGTCCTGTTGTCCCAGAGACTCGCAGGGGTCTGGCCTCAAGCAGGGACTGTCCTCATTGGCATTTCAGCCCCGGAACCCAGCCAGTAATGGCCCAGGGGCACGGTCAGAGGCAGGCCTGCCTGGTTCTCCGGGCTGGCAAGCGGGTCCAGGGCGGCATGGTTAGACTGGAGCCCCTCCCTGAGCCCCCAACCTCTGACCTCCCAGGCAGCGGCCAGAGCCAAGGCTCCTGATAAGCAAGGTGCAGGAACCCCTTAAATGTCCACCACCGGGGGTGCTGGGCTCACAGCAATGCGGGGTGTGCCCGAGACGGTAGATGGCACCTACCTGGATGTTGGCAACTGGACGCACATTCCTGACACTCGGGGAGGGAAGGGCTCACGTGGTTGAAGCCGCATGCCCACCAGGCCACACGTGGATGGGGCAAGGACACCGGCACAGAGGAAGGCAGGACTCAGACTCAGGAGGACTCTTTTTTTTTATGGTAATGTTTTTGCACTGATTATTCTTCTATAAAGAGTTGCCATCAGTTTTTACAAAAGTAACGATGCCATAATGTCCCCCTACAGCTTATGTTATGATGTGTAACAATCAGGGCTGCCCAGAGATGTGCCCTCCCAAGGCAGACCCACAGTAGGGCCAGCACCCTACAGCCAGGCTCTCGGGGCCCGTTTGCGACATCTTTGGCGGGGCTGGGCCGGAGCTCTGCAAGGCTTTCATCTCCTCTCTGGCCCCGGCTCAGCATTGAGGCCAGGGAGGAGCCCATCCCCCCGTGCCAGGGATGTTCCGAGCCATGTGGACGGGCTTCCCGGCACCGCCCAGCTGGCGCCCTGCCTCTGGTTCTGACGCAAGTGGAAATGTGCTCCTGGTGTGTCTGCAGTGAGTTCTGTCCAGCATCGATTTTCCTTCCTTGTGTTGGCCAGGCTTTTTGTTGGTGCTGGCTGTACCCATAGCTGAGTCACACTGACCTTTGCCTCCCAGACCCAAGCGGTGCATGCGGCTGATGTCCCCCTGCACATCGCACCGCTCTACAAATACCTGCCCGTGGTTGTCGCAGCTGCATGGGACTCTGCAGCTCTTCAGAGGTGGCCACCAGGTGGGCTTGGGGCTTAGAAATAGCCTTGGGCTGTGACTGACGCTGTCACCACAGACAGCAGTACACGGGGCCTGCCCCGCCTCTGGTTGATGTTTAAACCCACGTTGTGTTTGTGTGGCAGCCAGTGAGAAAGAGTGGGGCAGGGAGCCAGGGGGCATACCTGGGGACCCTTCCCCCAGCAGAGACAGACCAGGGTTTAGCTGCCATGGAACCAGAAGACCCAGAGGCCCCTGGAGGCTCCCTGCCCAGGAGGGAGCAGTTGGCATGGTGCGGAGGGCGGCAGGCGACGCCATCAGCTGGAAGGACTGAGAGAGAACATGACGCCGGGGGCCCTGTGCCCTCTCTGGGGGCTAAGACTGGGGAATGAGGGATGCCCATTCAGGTGAGCCCCTGCCCGCTCCCTGGGGCCACGGTGGGTCTGGGGGTGGGTGTCAGAGGGCAGGACAGGGCCCTGGACCCTTCTCTGGATGGTAAGGAAGTCAGCGGGGGGCCCTCCAAGGACACACTCTGAAGGCCGCTCATCTTGAAAAAACTCATTTCATTTCTGATTGTAAAGCTAAGGTGTGCTTTGGTAGATAGGTAGTCAATACGGGGAAGGGTGAAGGTGAGGATGACCTGGTCTGACATCCCAGCACCCGGGGCGGGAAGCCAGAGAGAAGATTCGGGCACGGTTCTCTCGGTTGTCTTTTCCTGGCAGGCGTGACACAGATGTGCACACGCACTGCACGTAGGCGGACACGCACACCCACATGCCGCAAGCACAGACACGCGGAGGACATTTGCCCTGCCCCACGCATGTGTGATCAAGGAGTGTGCACAGCCACCACCCTGCGAGGAAGGTGCACCCGCACCTGTGCACAGGCTTGAGGCCTCTGTCCCTGTAGCCCCCGCCGCCCCACGTACTTCCTGGGAGGCACGTTCCCAATTCACTAATGATTCTTCATGTTTTCTCATGGGCCTTAGCTCCCTGTCACCAGCCACGTACCAGCTCATGTGCTCCCTTCCAGGGTCCATGTGTGTCCTCACAGAGGCCTGGACAGTAAGGAATGAACCAAGGACGGCCCCAGACAGATGGCCCAGGACAACGGCAGGGTGAGTTCTCAGGACACTGGACAGGCCACGCCGGGCTCGTGGCTCTAGGCAGGTGCCCCAGAGAAAGCCAGGAGATGCTTTTAGCACTCGTCCCGCCTGCGGCCTGCCAGGGTGGGTGGGGCCAAGACAGCAGCAACTGGGGCATGCCCTGACACCCCCAAAGAGCAGGGCGGGCTCCAGGTGATGTTCTGGAGGGACGGGAGCAGGGAAGGAGGTGGAGGGAGGCCCAGGCACCGAGGGCCTCTTGTCTCATAGGATCCCTCCCGCCACAATGCTTCCCCACACCCTTCCTGGCCTCCTGCCCACAGGCAAAAACCTGGCCTCAGCTCAGCTCCTGCCACCGTCCCCTGCGCACAGTAGGCCCATCCATCTAGCCATCAGTCTGGCACCAGGGAGCCCAGAGGGAGACAGACAATCTCTGTCCTGGCAGCACACCGTTGGAGGGCGTCCCCTAAGAGTCAGCAAGCCCCACAGCACCAGTGGAGAACAGCAACCGTACCTCCTCCCCAGGGTTGGGTGTCAGGGCCAGCCCCCTCAATTGGCATCCTTGAACAGGAGGGGCAGCCTGCAGGACCCACTCCCACTTCATGCGCCAGGAGGAAGCTCTAGGGATGCAGATGCTCTCTAGTCACGGCAGGGCCAGCAGAGCTGGGGCTCCAGCTCAGGTCTTCACCAGACCCTCATATCTAACCACAGCCTCCCGAGTTCCAGCTACCCCGACCTGCCCAGCCGCAGCCTCCACTCCTGTCCTGGGGCCCTGGGGGCTGAGCGTGGGATGAGCGCAGGTGAGTGCCCAGCCTGGGCTGAGCCTGGCCACGTGCCGGGTGTAAATCTCACCTTCAGCACACGCCTGTGTCCAATGGCTGTGGCTACCTGACTGTAACTGCCATTAAGATGGATGGAATTCATTTTTAATGTCCAGTGCTCTACAGCACATGCAGAAAGATCCACCGAAAAATGGACTTTCCCCTTGGTCCTTGTGGTGACCCTGTGGGGGGAGGGGCTGGGGGAGCAGGGTCCCATTTAGGGTGTGGCTAGGGACAGAAGACAGGAGGCAGGTGAGACCCTGCGTTTAATCTCTCCTCAGACCCCCACAAGGGCCGGGAATGGGGAGCCACAACCCATCTTAGGGTCTCTTGTCCCTTGGGCCATGGACATACGAGGGCCTTCCTGGGGCTGCCTCTCTAAGGGGCACTCTGTGTCTGCTTGCTGTATGACCTCAGACAGCTGCTCAGCCTCTCTGAGCCCCTCTTTCTTCCTTAGCCACTGGGGGCAGTGGTGGCAGCCCACCAGACTCCCACCAGAGAGAGTCCCTAGGAGCCACTAGCCAGGGCGACAGTGGGCATAGGAGTGGACATAGGCTCCCACCCCTTCAGACTCCCTCAGATGCATGGGATTCCACCCTGCCCTGACTCCTAGCACCGCCCACCCTGGGCTGTAGGCTCCAGGGTCCAGCCCACGAGTGAGGTGCCCCCCCCACCTCCTGTCCCAGCAGGTGGCCAGGCCTGCAGGGACAGAGATGGCCGGCAGAGGGCAGAAGAAGGCCGTGGAGCCTCCAAGCTGAGCTCACAGCACTCGCTGGGCGCTGACTTGGACCACCCTGTGCCCAGAGCAGCTCTGCTCTGCCCCTGGCCTTGTTCCACCTCAGGACACCCCAGACCTGGGCAGCCACTGCAGAGAGAGGCCAGGCTTCATTCCTCATTCCTGACCCCAGCCCAGTCGCTGACCAGGGGCCATCTCCCCTCAGGCCTCTGCCCTCTGCACCCCTCCACTGGCCTTCCCACAGGTCCCCCTCCTGCACGCCACCTTGGCCAGGCCGGAGCCGGGCACGAGGTCTCCTTCCTGTGCTCCTGGGCCCCGGAGGATGGGGTGAGGCTCCAGCACCTTCTTGGCGGTGCTTGAGATGACGAATCCAGGCACCTCAGAGCGTGTTTATGCCACCCCTGCACCACACACGCTGGACACATCTGCAGCGCGGAGACCCCTGTCCGCAGGCCATCAGCCCTGTGTGGACAAAGGCCCTCCCCTCCAGCCGAGACCCCTCCATAGTGAGGGCACCATGTCACAGGGCGAGACAGAGACGTGGCCCCCAGGACCTGGCCAGGCTGAGCCAGGCCTAAGAGTCTTCAGAGGCTAACCTCTCCCCATGGGGTCTCCAAAAAGGTGGCCACCTGGAGCCCAGCACCTGAGGGCTGCAGAGCCTCGTGGTCTTGGCTAGTGGTCATTTCCCACATATCTTCTGGGGACGGGGAACTGCCCCCTTGAGGCTGCTGGTTCCAGCTCCTTCCCATCAGCCAGGCCCTGTCAGACGCAGGGGTGGCGTCCTGGAATTTGCCACCAGACGCCCCAGGCTACCAGCCTTCTTGGCGCCCACGTCCAGTGTCTCGCCTGTAACTAGCATCCCCCTCCATAACTGGGGGGGCCCATGGGCCTCGCCCAACCCGGCCTCCGCAGGACCCACTCCCGCGCCCACTCACTGCCCTCACCCCATCCTGCCCAGCCGGGGACAGTGCCCTCTGCTCTCCTGCACCGGCCCCATCTCCACCACGCCCCACCTCCCAACCCCACCGGTGGCCCCAAGTGTGTCCTGCAGAGCCCATCCTGCACAGAAGCTCCCCGCTGCCCTCCTGCTCCCACCCACTCCTCAGAAACCTCCTTGAAACCAGCCCAGCCCCACAGCTGGGCCCGACCCCCTCCCACAGTGAGGGCTGCGGCCTGGTGGGCTCAGCTCATCAGTGCAGACAGGTGCCTGCCACAGCCACTGGTCAGGAATGAGCAGAACCCAGGCTGGCCAGGTCACCGTGGCCGGCCCCAAGCACTACGAGGGTCCAAGTTGGTGCCCAAAGGAGGAGCTCAGGGTGGCTGATGGACAGCTGGGGAGAGAGGTGCAGACGGGGGCTGCCCGGAGGGTGAGGTAGGCCCCAGGGAAGTACCACTGAGGGAACCCCGAGAGCTGAACTCTGAGCAAGGAGCACCTGAAACCCACCCCGCTGGGACTCTTCCCAGCCTGGAAGTCCCCTTCACCATCTCCCACTTTGTGGTGGGCTTTCTGTGCCTTAGAGCTACAGACTCACTATGTGTCATCTCTGTCCCTCACCCTGCCCCACCGTGGCCAGGCTCTTTGCTGAGTGCTGGTAGCTACTTATTCCTCACTTCCACCCCGTGTCGGGGGGACAATTTGCCTTTCAGCAGTGAGCTGGAGGAGGAACAAAGCCAGGTCTGCCTGACCCGCAGCCTTTGCCTCCCTCTAGACAGCTCGCCCAGGGGACCCTGTGAGAAGGAAGCCTGGGTGCCCCAGGAGAGCCACGCACTCCCTGAAGGAAGAGCAGGCGGGGAGTGTCACTCCCTAACCTGGAGCCCCAGGGCTCAAGGATGGAGGTCCGCAAATGTAAGGAAAGAGGAGAGCCTTCTGGGAGGCAGAGGAGGAGGGTTGGGCCAGCACCGATTGACCTGTAGGGTCCGGAGGCATCTGTGGGACCACACCTCAGCACCCGCCTTCCCCCTGCCCCCGGAGACAGTGGCACATAGGGGCTCCCAATTAGGTATGGGGTTGGGCAGGCCACTGAGTCCCCAAGTCCCGGTGCCAGCGATGCGCCCCGGAGCTCAGCTCCACATTGAAAGCCCGTCTTCCCAGTTACCTGCAACCGGCTCGCCCTGTGGGTAATTGGCTCCCTGCAGCTCCGGCAAGGCCCTGTGCCTCCCGAGGAAGTGGCAAGAAGCAGGCCCCGGAACAATCACATTGGTGTAGGAACCCCAGACATGCCCAGTGGCCCCTAAGGTCCCAGCTCCAGCCCCCCAGGGAGGCCCCTCCAGGGGGCAGTCAGGGCGCAGGGAACGCTCCCTGGGAGGTGCTCCCTGGAGGACTCCATGCCCAGGAGAATCATTTGCTCTCAACCCCAACCCTCAGGTCACACTGTGGGGAGACAGGAGCTGGAGACCCTCGCCAACCCCTCCACCAGCCCCATCCCCCAACTCCTCGGGCACCTTCCAGCTCCACAGCCCTGTCCCCAGGCGCCTGCCACCCCTCGGAGCCGTTATCTGGCCCCAGGAGCCCGCACTGAATGTCTGCAGCCTCCACCCCAGACATGGCACGCCAGGAAGACAGGGCAGGCCCAGCGTCCGCCTGTGCAGCGCTTGGGCCATGGCTGGGAAGGATGCCGGGGTTTGTGGTGGCCTTGGCTGGCTCTCAGATGACTTTGAGGAGCTGGCAAGTCTACAGGCTCCTCCTAGCAGCTGGCATCAACTCCGTGGCTTCCTCCCTCCTCGGAGCTCAGGGGCGACTCGGCCCCGGGTGCCCGCAGGGCCCCTTGCTCAGCGCCTGTCCAGCAAATGACAGCCCAACTCAACACACGCCCGCAAGCCTGAGGCACCGCGCCTTCCCCAGGGGCAGTGCCCACCGGGGCGTCTCAGGCGAGCTCCAAGGGCACCCAGCTGAACTGGCTCCACCTGGCTCCTCTCTGAGTCACAGTGTTTTCCAGGAGGGGGGGTGTTCTGTAACAAGAGAGTTGACTGAGCAAAGGAGCTCCTTCCTACCGCTTACCAAGACAGACTAGAGCCGCCGCACACGCCACCGCACACGCCACTGCACACACCACCGCACATGGAACAAAGACCTGTGTCCTGGCTCTGCCCTCCCCGGGCCACGCATCCCCTCCTGTCCAGCCGCCAGGCTCCCTGGACCTCCCGTCTCCACTGTCCTGGGAGGCAGTCCCCGCCTCGCTCTCCTCCCAGGCCCCATGAATCAGGCCGCCAAGGGGGCACTGAGGCCCCCAACTGGCGTGACCTCGCCTGTCCCCCTCCCTGGGCGGCTGCAGCTCAGTGGCCACCATCTTCCCACCGTTGGGAATGTCCTGCAGCAGAGTGGCTGGGAGAAGGCGGGGAGGGTGGGGAGGACACGTGGAGCCCCCGCCAGCCATTCGCAGGGCTGAGGAGAGACAGTGCGTGGGTTCCTCTGGACGTGGCACTTAGAGGCCATGGCTGTGCCAGGGACAGTCTGCCCACACAGGGGCCAATGGGGTATGGCGGGCACTGGGGGGCATCAAGGGTGTGCTGACCACACCTGTGGGTGGGCAGGGTCCGGCCTCACAGGTGGTCCCAGGAAGGCTCCACATCTGGCTGGCCCAGCAGGAGCACTGACTGCCTTTCCCAGCTGTTTGACCCCATGTGTCATGTTTTTTCATCTCTAAGATGAAGTTGAGGAGGGAGGAAATGGGAGGATAAGACACCCCGCTCCGCCCCAGCACGAGAACCTCCAGCTGGGGTGGGAGAGAGTCCACAGAACCCGGAGGAATCATGTGGCGGCCATGAGCCTTTTCTTCTGAGTTTCAGAGACCCCAGGAAGAGTAGGGGGCTCATCTGGATTGGAGTCCCAAAGCCACGATGTGCCACTTGAACGTGGTGGGATGTCGGGGACCGTCACCCAGGCTCCCTGGGCCCAGGCATCCCAGCTGTGGGACCGGGAGGCCGGGTTGTTTCCAGAACGGTATCTGTGGAGAGGCTGCCCTGCCCACCTTGGCTCCTCCCTCCCGTGTGCAGCTCTGTGCCCATGGCCCCTGGCCTGACAGAGTCCCTCCTCGCCTCGGCCCTGCGCAGTCCCCCGGAGCCCTCCCTCCCCCAGCACAGGGCTCAGCTGGAGATAAAACTGACCCTGAGGACAGCGCATGGAGAGGGACAGACAGGCTTGGGGCAGAGGGGCAGAGGTGGGCATGGGGAGGCCATCTCCCCCAGTGTTGTGGGGGGCGATGAGAGCTCAGACTTAGCCTATTGGACTTGGGCTCGAGGCGCCCTGGGTCCCTGAGAGGCTCGCAGCTTCCCAGGCAGCCCAGATCCGGCCAGAGGAAACACAGTATCTCCCCAGCGGCTCCCAGCCCCAGCAACTGGGCTCCTCACTGGCACCTAGGACCTCATTTCATCCCACCTCGGCTCAAAACCACACACGTGCAGTGTACGTGTTGGCTTTGAATTTCCAATTCACTTCCCCCAATTTCATAAATATCGCCCCATTTTAGGCATTTTCCAAGAAAGGAGATGCAGGCTGGGAGGGGCCGGGGCCTGTGGTGGGTGTTTCTCTCTCTTTCTCTTCTCACTCTCTCCTTTCAATCTGGCTCAGATATTTTGAAAAAGGAAATGAAATTTCTGCACTGCTTCCAGGTCTGGGTCAGAATCCCCCACCCGTGGCATCGCAGGTGCCATCTCCTGTGTCTGGGGGCTCAGGGAGCGGGGTGTGAGCATGGAAGGTAGCAGCCTGGGGGAGGTGGGGCTGGCAGGTGGCCTCACGCACAGCCAGTGGGACCCACAGCACCCAGGCCCAAGGCCCCCCATCCGAGGTGAGCGGCTGTGGCCAGGTGGCATGGGGCGGCTGCCTGTGCCCAACAGGGCCTGCCCCTCGAGCTCCCGCTTTCCTGCCTGTCCTCAGGTACTGCCAGCTCTGGCCTCAGGGCTTTTGCACCTGTGGCTCTTACTGCTCACGTCTGGCTCCTTCTAGCCGCCTCTCCTACAAGGCCCTTCTTTAAAGCCTGTGGGAGCAGCCTCCGCCTGAGTTCTATCTCTGCAGGACTGGCTCGGGTCCCACTTCCTCATTGCGGGTCCTGCGGGCTCTCAGCATGGCAACTGCCTGGGTGCGTAAGCCACGGAGACTGAGGTATGGTGGATGGCAGGGGACCTTTCTCTCCCAGGGGTCCTCTGGGGTCGCTACCCAGCCTGGGTGCCCCCCCTCATTTGCCCACACTCCTGGCCAGGCTGGGTGGGTCAGCGGTGTGCAGGGTGGGTGCTGCTCAGGGGCCCTAGCTGCATACAGGGCAGGGAGCAGGGCCTCAAGACCACGGCCTGGCCATGAGCATGGGCACAGCTGGTCTCCTGACGCTCCCTCCCCATAAATAAAAGATTCCCTTCCTCTTCCCAGCCTTTCGTGGCCGCTGCCTGCTTGCTGGCCCGGCCCTTTGTGCCCACGCGTTGCTATGGAGATGAGCGATTCAAAGGCCTGGCACTTCAAGGCTTCCCTCCTCTCCTGGTGGGCCTGGGCGGGGGCAGCCGAGACGGTTGCCCAAGCCCAGCGGGTGCTGCCTCCTCCTCTTCTCCATCTAGCCAAATGTAGCCCCTGCCAGGGCTAGCGTACCCACTAATTCTCACTCTGATGTGGGTGGCCGACTCTCAGCCCCACCCTGGGAACAGGCGTGCTTTTATAGGGATTTAATTCAAAGTTTGATATGCTGAGGGAAACTGAGGCACGGTTGGTTCCTGGGGAGAGCCGGCTCCCCTTGGTCACTCTGCAGCACACAGAGGGCGCTGATGAGCAGCTGGCAGACAGCGAGTGCCCTCTGAAGATGCACTTCCCTCCCTGAGGCCCAATCTGCCATCCGTACAGAGGGCCACTTCCTGCCTGGGAGCAGACAGGGTCTCTGAGGCTCCAGAGTGTACCCCAGCACAGGATGGCCCAGGACTGGCAGCCGAGATTTGGGACCAGCTGCACGAGGTGCGTAATCCAGAGACAGAGCCTGTCCCCTCCAAACTCCGTGTACTCTGTGTGTTGGAGCTGTCTCTGAGTCACCCGTCGGAAGCATAGTGGGGTCTTTGAGGTTCCTCCGCTTCCCGTCCTGTGTACCACTCATACTTTTAATCTCCCCACAATCTACCCTTTTATCACGTCCTCAGACTCATGCAACTGGAAAAATCCACAGCAGAATTTTCTGGTTACAGCTGCCTCCTCCCACCTGTCCTGGCGTGGCAGAGGGAGAGGCAGCCATCTAGGGTCTGGGACTACTTTGAGCCTCAGTTTCCTCTCCTGTGTAATGGAAACAGGAGTCCACTCTTAGCAAATGTCTACAGGTATCTGGGGGGCAGGGCTCTGTGCCGGGCCCGGGAACAGGACACCCCATTTCTTTGGGGAGACCCTGCTCCCCAGCTCCAACCCAGGATCCTGGTGAGAGTGGCCAATCCCAGACCTGCTTCCTGGTCCCAGGGCAGGCCTGCCACTCAGCTGGGCCCCTCAGGGACTTCCTGGGAGTTACAGGTTAGAGGGAAGGAAGCCAGGGAGAGGCAGCAGAGCTGGCTGCACCCCAGGCTGTCTCTGTGGGGCCTGGCCTTGCGCCCGCCCTCACTGGCCTGGACCCCTGTCCCACCTCAGCAACCTTGGCCGAGGGCTGGTGTCTGAGCTGCCGTTGTCCCTGTTCTGCCACAGAGTTAGATGATGGCTATTCTATCAAGGGGACCCTACCCAGAGTGAGGCAGCCGCTCAGCAGGAAGAGTTCAGGTGATAGTGTAGGGCTTCGTTCTTGGCTTGTCTGACCTTCAGGGCAGGGAGTCCCCTGCCACACTCTACTTTCTGCAGAGGAACTAAAGGAGGCCAGAGAGGCCCGGAGACGCAGCCGCAGCCAAGCAGGAGAGGGCCAGCTCGGTCCGAGGCCTCCACCCTGACCCACCAAGAGCTCCGATGGGCCAAGCCCCTCCTCCATCAGCCGTCTGTACACGGGGTACCCGTGAGGGCAGGGCTGACCTCAGCCCACAGGGAGCCAGAGCTGGGCCAGGTCTTGGGTGCAGGGGTGCCCTTGGCAGGGTAAGACCCAGCCTAACTCAAAGCCCACCGCCACACCCGAGCAGGACAGACAGAGGGAACAAACCCGCCAGGCCTCCCACCGCTAGGCAGAGCCCTTCGGAGTGTGCCAGGCTGGGCCTGGGCGCTACGGCTTGGTTCTACATATCCTGGATTTTTGCCAACAAGTCCGTCCTTTTTTGTAAAATAAACTTTTTAATTTTAGAACAGTTTTATATTTACAGAAAAGTTGAGAAGGCAGTACCGAGAGCTGCCATACACCACACAGCCAGGTTCCCTCCTGCCAGCGTCTCACGCTGGCAAGTCGCAGTGCAGGAGCCAAGGCTGCGCCACCGCCCGCTCAGGCCCAGACTCCACATGAGTTTCCGCAGTTCTCACCTGAGGCCCTTTTTCTGTTCCGGGATCTGACTCTCGGTCACCGAAATGCCCCCAAAACAAGGGGACACAGAAGTGTGTTTGGCCAGCGAGGCCTCTGGCTGCTCCCGCCACCATGAGATGCCCCATCCCCTCTTTACTCCGGGAGCTAGAGACGCACTTCTGGGCCTCAGAGTCCTCCACTGTGATGTGGAGGGGCTGCTGCCTCGACCACACCCCCCGGCAGGCAGGTGACAGGGCCTTTTCCCACTTTAGGTGCAGTCAGGTGCTGCAGGGCAACACGTCCCTACCCAGACCATAAGGCTCCCCCCACAGAGTCGCCCTGTCCTAGAGCCCAGTGGGGCAGGGCCAGGGGAAAGGCCTGCACCTCAGGGCCCACAGAGGGGCTTCCAGACCCGCAGGTGCAGAGGGTTCTGGGGCAATCCCGCCAGCTGTCACTGTGCCTCTTCCCACTCCTCCTCCTCCCACTCCTCCTCACCTTCCCCCATACTCCTCCCCAACTCCTCCCATCCTCCTCCCACTCCACCTCCTACTCCTCCTCCCCTTCCCCCACACTCCTTCTCCTACCGCTCCCCCCACTCCTCCTCCCCCCACTGCTCCTCCCAATTCCTCCATATTCCTCCCACTCCTCCCCCTACTCCTCCTCCCTTTCCCCCACACTCCTCCCCCTACTCTGTCCCACCCCAGGACACCCTCAGGGGCACTTCTCCCCTCATGTCTCCCTCCCTCCCCATTCCTGCATATTCTCCCTCCTAGGAAGTAGTTCTCACCCCATTTCACCATCAGGGAAACTGAGGCTGGGAAGGCAAAGGTACTGCCCAGAGCCATGTCTGTGGGAGGCCTGGGCTTTGCTGGTGGCCTGTGACAGATGGGGACGGCTGGGGTGAGACAACATGGATTGGGCATTCATGACCACAGCCAATGAGCGGGGGCAGTGGATCCGTGGTTGGGGCCCCCAAGAGGCCCTAGGGGCCAAGCAAGGCCTCTGCCCCCCGACCCTACCCCACCCCCGTGGAACCTGGAGATGCTCCTGAGCAGCCGGACATGAGACTAATTAAAGCAGGCCTGTGGTAACAGGGCGCTAATGAAGACAAAGAGTGTGGGCAGGCGACAGGAGAACTGGGCGCCAGACCTGGGTGGCAGGATGGCCGCTACAGCCTGCCCACCGCCGCATTGGTAGCAGCGAAACAGATGGGTGTCAGTTGTTTTACTTTAAAATATACTTTCTTTGGTGTTTCGAATGGATCCCTGTCTCCTCCTCTCCCATCTCCAGCTACATGACACCCCTGGCCACATCTGCGGGCGCCCCGGCCCCCACGGGGATCCCCCGCCTTGACAAACGCTGCCGCCCCACAGGTCGGAGGACTGCATGGCACTGGGACTTAAAATTCCACCTTTCTTATTTCCAGCAGAGTTCAGCATCGTTTCACTGCTTTATCTCATGTCTCTGCCCATTTTGCTCTTGGGCTGTTGGTCTTTT